ACCGCATAAACGGAGGCAGTTTGATCGGGTTGTCAAGTATAACAACTGAGTCAGAACTACGTCAGGAAAACTTAAGTATAGACTACGTCAACTTCAAGAGTCTCAGAACCATGGACTACCGGCAAAACCTACTAAACCCGTGCAACACACGCCCCTACGCCATCCAACTACCGAAAATCGAGCTCATGAAACTTCATGGCCAACCGTGATCATGGACGCCTTTTTGGGAGAAGTTTAGTCAACTTATCCACAACAACAGTCACCGACGTGAACTGGTTTGCCTATCTAGATTCAGTTTTGACCGGTGAAGTGGCATCTGCAATAACGGGACTTCCAGCAATGGCAAGATGCTATTCTGAAGCCCTGGGCATTTTAAAACAACGCTTTGCCAAGACTGATGCCATTATTGAGGCTCACATGCAACGATTCATCTACATGCGATCTGTGCAGTCCTCCAACGATTTTCGAGGACTTCGATACCTTTAGAACACGGTCTAATCGCAGACACGTGCCCTGAAGACTCTCGGAGTATCGGAAGACAATTACTCCGCAATGTTCTACCCAATCTTTCTAGAGTCACTTCCTCATGACATCATTCTCGACTTCAACAAGACCATCGCACACCAACGTGCAGAGGGCCCAGGACGACACACCCAGGAACAGAAGGCGAGCATTCAGTCTTTGCTGTTTTTTTATACAGACAGAAGTAGGTCTTGCGAACGAATTATCTTGCACATGTCTGCAAAAGAGCACATGTTGAAGTGCCATAGTACAGATTTGCACACTAGCATGACATCTTCTTCGCGACATCAACGTTCCACAACTGAGTCATTAATTGCATTGGCGAAACCAGCTCCAAGAAAAAACCCCGGCTTTTTTTGTGAGGCAAACTCTTTCACGCCACCTGTATAGCTCAGGCCAACAGTCGGGCAAACAGCAGCAAAGCCATTGCAGGAAAGCCATTCATAGCAGCAAAGCCATTGCAGCAAAGCCATTCCAATGTTCACCCATGCAAAACCAGAATTGTGCACCGATAATGGCAGCGCTGGCTTCACTGTATTGCTTTTATAAACACCCATAGCACAGAGCAGTGCGACTGTCCCATTTCTCTCGAGGAGAAGAAAAAACAACTATGTACTGAGCGCGGGTCTATGTTTCTGCCATACCTTTCAGCATCATTTGGCAAAAAATTCCAGAAGGAACATTATATGTACTAAATGCAATCGACGTCATGCGTAAACAAAATCGAAGCCATGCCAAAAGAATGTGTGACCCTTAGCTTCTGAGCTCTATTAGCAGTTCCCAGACACCAACAGTGCCGATGCAGGTCAAAATGATTGAAAATGATAACTCGACGCAGAGTGTCTACCTCCAAACTGCTGTTGCTTGGGCAGCCGGCGAAGAAAACAAAGTGCTTCTTCGAGTTTTGTTCCACGAAAGTTGGCACAGCGTTGTGACAAAGCGGTAGGCTGAGAAGTAGCATTTTCGATTGCTTGATCATGGGATCCTTGCGGTGGGATAATTTGGAGGACAACATGACGGAAGGCCTTCCCACGCGTGTTTGTCATCCCGAGTTCAGTGCATGGCTTTAAATCACTACAAATAGAAGCTCACATCACGACAAAAATCAGTCGCCAATCAATGGCACGATCAACTAGAGACTTCATCGACAAGCTCGAAAACCAAGGGCATCACTTCTGTGACATCAATCAAGCTGAGAGCCCAAACAGTGTTGATATCTTTATTGGCAGTGACTATTACTGATTCTTTGTCACTGGAACCATTAAGAATGTAGCGAACAGACTAAAGGCCATTGAGACCACCTTAAGTTGGAGGCTACATGGACAAGCCCCTTCTAGCGCTATGCCGTGCATTGCAATGAGCTCTCTGTACATAAAGCGGCAGTGAAGAGCCATAAAATCGCAGCACAGAATGACAACAACTAAGAAGTCATGGAAATGATATCCAAAGAATATAAAATGACCCAAAACGGAAACTCAGAAGCAATTTCAGTCCAAGACGCGTCCAAGCTTCTGTCAAAGTCAACAAGACACCATGTGCCTCCATGAAGATGGAGAAGTTGGCTTCAAACCATTTACGCATTCTTGGCATGCAGTCTATGCAACCTCCAGAGTTGCATGCCGAAAAACTGAATCTACTGAAAGCCTTGACAATGGTACTGCATCCTGAAACTGGTGTATTGTCAAGTCGGAGAAATGCAGCAGAATTCTAGCAGCAAATAACAGCAAATAAACAACACCAGACTTTCACGCTACAAGTGACCTTTTGCCTAGACGACACTCTTGTCATGCTAAATTCTTCCACAGTAAAGATGAAGAACCAGGGTAATCATAACCCACGCGACTACTTAACAAGAGGAGCAGGAGTGAATCCTTTCTTGACCAGTGGGCAGGGCACAAACAGCTTGAAGACCTAGAATGGCCACAAACTCTACCGATCACGCCACAGCTTAGCTACTACAACATGTCTCCCAAGCGCAAGCAAAAGAGTGCGTCTAAGGGAACCTTCAATGCAATTTCAAGGCAAAAGAAACAGAAGCTGCTGCAGCATGCCTTCCCAGGAACACTGACTCAACAGATGCCTTTCGGAAATGAAACCAACGTAAAGCCCAAAGATAGCGCCCCGTTTACACTGGTCAAGCGAGCCCCGGAAACTAGGAATTCTTTAAATAGCGGAGCTCCACAGACTACCGGCTAGTGCTACCATGAAACAGGTCTTTCAGCATATGTACCCGCTAGAACTGAACTCTTTGAGAAATTCTGTGCGCGGGGCAATTTGTTGGAAAAAGATCAACGAAGAAGACGATCTATTCTGGCTTTCAAATCACACACTGCAGCAGCAACTCACGGAGTCGAGCTGCGGTTTATTGTAAGTAAATCCCTTTTTCTATGCAACGGGAGACTCGATGTTCTTCCCACTAACGGAACAATAAAGCGTTGTTTTGTTGACCTAGCCTAGCCAAAACCCGTTGTAGCTGTGATAACGCTAACTACGAGAAGGGGACGTTAATCATGCATAGTACAACTATGTGCAGCTGGAATAGTAGCTAGACTTCTACATGAGCCATGCATACAGCAGACCCTTTAATGCTTGCGTGGCCGCTAGGTCCTAATCGAGTAACTTCACCGCAGGCATGACCCTTCAATGCTTGCGTGGCCGCTAGGTCCTAATCGAGTAACTTCACCGCAGGCATAACTGCAGTGTCGTCTGCAGTCGTTGCCATGATAGCAGTAGCTTTGCCACTGGTGTGGGAAATGGCCACTTGCTCGGTTAGGGTGCTGCTCGCGGTGTCAGCGAACAAGTGACAAGTGACACCGGTTTGCGTGTCCCACACAGGGTCAGGAGGCGCTGAAGTCATCATGCTCCCCAAGCTGCCCACAGGCATTAGCCGCTCAACCAAACATTGATCTTCAGGCGGCGTACGCTGCAATACGTCACTGGAGTCTGTTGTCGTCTGAAGGTCGCCCATCTCATTACTGTGACAGAGCGGTAGACGAGATGCTGTAAAGGCGAACCACAAGGAAGGCTTGACCAAGATAGGTGGAAAAGCGCCTTTCATGCAGTCGGTCCCTAGACGGAGGAGATGTTCAGCTCCATAAAACTGTGAGACGGCATCCTACAGTCTGCCATAAGAGGGGAAGGGGGCGGGTGGTCTATGAGAAATATGTGAGGCGTCATTTGAGGTGTCGGGTTGGGGAACATACTCCAGGATGTCAAATTTAAATTCCTGGAACCAGATACTGTTAAGCTGCAGGGCCACTTCAAATTTCACGAACCATGTTTTGATGCACAAGGTCCAAAACGGTGGCAGAGATGGCTATCGGGCTTGAGTTGGCTGGAACATAGCTGCAGAGCTTATACAGAGCCGGTAGCTTGTCTGTGTGTCTGTGGTCACCAACTGTAGTGCAGGACTACTGCGTGCAGCTGTATCAAAACAAATAGCATTCTAACCACCTCGTGGCTCAAGCAGCACAAGCCACGTGGCTCTTCTTTCGCACACCGGCTAGTCAAGACTAGCGTGACCAACAACATAAACAATGCCCTCTTTCCTCCTCCTGACAGTGCAAGTTTTGTCTGGGACTTTTTTAGAGTGATTTGTAGCTTTGCACCTGGTAATGCAGAAATTGAATCATAAGTGCTCTAACACATCATATAATTTATACTACCTTCATTGATTCTAAACAGATTTTGCATTGGTTCGAAACGCCTGCCTAAATACCATAAAAAACTTGTGCCCCACAGTGGGGCAGTGCCTGAAACTGCGTGCACTCAAGCTTCGGTGATGCTGAATGCGCTGTATTCAAATAGGGGCACCCACGAATGATGAAGAATGAAACGATGTGGATGCTTTGAGTGTTTACCTCTCAGTAAAAAGAAAAACAGTCCTGCCTTAAGCAGCCAAAGTCATCTTAAGACCAGCCCCACAAACTAGCGAGAGGGGTGACAAACAATAGTCCTCGCCGGGCACCTGTTGCGTTGTATGTTGTGCGCACCCCGCAAATGTTTTCTGATGCCAAAAATACTTGCTGGACCTTTGCAATGTCCCGAGCGGACCCCTATCTACGTCAAACCACAGAAAAAGTCGATTGCATCGGAATACTCAGACGAGCATGACTCTTACTTTAAAACAAAATTATATATAATAGGCAACACTCATTCTTAATAATCAGTGCCTCCGCATGGAGGACTAAAATACCACAAGCATCTTGAGTTTCCAATTTTCGTGTCAGAGGTTCGTTAACATTTAGAACTCTCCCCCATTTCCATTATTTAAATTTTAGGGTAGCATTTACATGCACTTTGAGAAGGTAAATGGGAGTCGGAAAATACTGCATTAAATAAAGCCAGTCACCCACTATAACTAGCTACATCACAAGTGGTCCGAGCTGTGCAGTTTATGAGATACGATTCAAGGTGATGTCTCCTCGAGCCGAACTGCTTCTGTTAACTGGCCTTTTTCAACTGGAAGCAGTGCTTACCAAAAGGAAAGCCTTGCTATCAGGCTTGACCTTGTGCTTCTCCATGTACTTCACCAGGGAACAGCTGGCATAACTGCAACACAGAAAAGTAATCGGAAGAGCAGGAAACCATTCAGCAATGCCCCAACGTGAAAACTTAGCTCTGCCATCAGGTTACTAGGCAGATGTAGGGCAGCTTTAGGTGCAAAATGAGACGACTAGAAAAATACAAACAAGTAAATAAGCGGGCTTTTAGTGTCGTTATAGTGCTCGCCCTACTTTATGTCAAAAACTCCAGTGCTCTCTGTTCTGCTACGGTTCCATGTGCATGTGAAAAAACTGACACCAAGTTATGAAGCTGACATTCCTCCGCCACACGAAAATACTGTACACCAATCTCCTGAGCTAATGTGAAGCTCGGGAAATGGCAATAAAATGTTTCAGTCTGACATTAAAGCAATTCTTGTATGATGCACCTATCGACATTGGTGTCAGCCTACAGTATCAATTCGGATGACTTCATGCCTCAGTTGTTAAGACATCAGGTACCAAAACATACAAAATGGCTGCATGTACATCTCCTACGAAGCTTCTGAGCAGAGAAGCCATGGAAATGCCACAATATCTTGCACAACATGCTGGAACATCTTATCGGGCTAGTTGGTACATTCTGAACAAATGTTAAAAACGTGTCCTGCATAGGCCAACAGCTTCAACGTGCCTTGAATCTGCATTGACATGGTCCTGTGCTCACAAAATGCAGGATAGTTTTCACCACTACGTAAACAGGCTAAATTCAGCAGGATACCCTTGCTCAGTTATGGCAGCAATTGCGGAAACCCTCCTTTAAAAACTGAAGAGCAAATCAAGAACAAAGCCGCCAGTGTACGAAAGATCACAGGTCATGCATATATGCACAAAGTTTCCCACAACTTAACGAAGGTAGTGAACAGATACAAAGTACCTATTGTCTTTTCAGCCCCACTGAAGCTTGCCAGCCTCTGTCCATGTCAGCCTTGCGGTCTCATAATGGCTTAGAGTGGCCGAACACATGACAGTAGGGTTTCCTACTAAGGTGATATCACCTAAGGTATATCTCAAAGGGGGAGCCGCAAAAACTCCCAGAATTTCGCGTCATCAGAACAACTAGAAAAAAATCTATTTCCATCAAAACAACTCACGTATCTTTTCACACGTGAACGGACGAGGCAGCGCAGTTGGCTGCCGCGAAGGCGCAGGTTGGAGCTTTGGCTTTGCTTGCTACTATATTGTCACGTGCGTCATCGTCACTGGAATCCACAGAAGACGAGGGTGCGGCAGACAAGGTTTATTAGTAAGGAGGCGTACTTGTGCCTCTCGCTTAGGACACAAAAGGAACACTAACAGGATCGGAGCGGCGTGCCCATGCACAGCTGCCATTCTACCAAAAAACAACCCACAGCTTACGGGCTGCCAGTTATTTGCAAGCTGCCATTCTACCAAAGAACAACCCACAGCTTACGGGCTGCCAGTTATTTAAGCGCTGAGAAGACAACACAGAACATGTGCACACCTATCATCAGATACTGCACTGTCTGATACGATGGGCCCATCGGAAGTTAATCGCAGTCCGCTCTAGCCTATCTAAATGACTGCGACGGCTGTCGCTCTATAGTGGCAGCTGCGCAGAACGGCATGGCACGTGGCATTGCTCCCCTCTTCAAAAACATCGCCTCGATGTTGAAAGCAAGCACTGAAGTCATAAGGCACTGAAGTTTTCACAAAAAAAAGATAGAGGAACAAGTGCACATATTATCTGCTAGCGCGCATAATAGCGTTTCAAACGCACGACGTGAACAATTATCAGACCGCACACGTCGACGCTGGGAGTCTGTCACACCATCCGGGAGGATTTCATAGATCAGTGGCCCTACGCGACGAACAATTTTGTAGGAGCCAAAATAACGCCACAGAAGCTTTTCGCTGAGGCCTCGTCGGCAAACTGGTGCCCATAGCCAAACTTGTTCGCCGGGTGTGCATTCCTGATGACGGTGTCGCAGGTTGTAGTGTCGGGCATCCGTAGCTTGCTTGGTTGCCGTTCGCAGTCGAGCCAGCTGCCTGGCCTCTTCAGCGCGTTGTTGAAATATCGCTACGTCCGGGTTCCGGTCGCCTTCGTGTACATGCGGTAACATTGCGTCCAGAGTCGTTGTCGCTCCCGTCCGTAAACAAAAGCGAATGGTGTCAGCCCGGTTGTCTCCTGGGTGGCATATTATATGCGAAGGTAACATATGGAAGCACTTCATCCCATGTTTTATGTTCAACATCGACGTACATCGACATCATGTCTGCCAGGGTCTTGTTGAGCCGTTCTGTGATGACCGTTAGTTTGTGGGTGGTATGCGGTAGTTCGGCGATGGGTGGTGTGGCTGTACCGCAAAATGGCTTGCATCAGTTCGCAACAGAAGGCTGTCCCTTTGTCAGTAATAACAACCTGAGCTGCACCGTAGCGCAGGACCAAATTGTCCTGTGAACGAAGAATCTGGCGGCTTCTTCAGCAGTGGCTCGAGCAAGGGCGCGGGTTTCTGCGTAGCGAGTCAGGTAATCTGTCGCCACAATGATCCACTTATTTCCTGCAGTAGACGTCGGGAAGGGTCCCAGAAAGTCCATTCCGATTTGTTCGAAGGGCCTTGTTGAGGGTTGAAGTGGCTGGAGTAGTCCAGCGGGTTTTGTTGGCGGTCTCTTGCGGCGTTGACACTCTCGGCACGTCCGTACGTAATGCTTGACGTCTTCTAGAATGCGCGGCCAGTAGTAACGCTCACGGATCCGCGAAAGCGTTCGTGTACACCCAAGATGCCAAGAGGTTGGTTCGTCATGTGACGCCTGCAAGAGTTCCTGACGCAATGACGACGGCACGACGAGAAGGTAGGTGCTCTTCCTAGAGTCGAATTTCTCTTTCACAAGGACATTGTCTTTTAAGCAGATTGTGTGAAGAGCACGCCTAAAAGTTTTGGGTATCTCCGTACGTTTTCCTTCAAGATGTTCAACGAGACAGTTCAGTTCAGGGTCGGCCCCTTGTTGGGCGGCTAAGTCGGAAGCGGTGATCATGCCCAGAAAACTGGCGTCGTCGTCTGGACACGGTGGTGGTTGCTCAAGCCGGGGCTCGAGACAGACAATCTGCGTCGGAATGCTTTCTCCGTTCTTGTGCACTACCGATATGTCGAACTCCTGGAGCTGCAAGCTCCACCTTGCGAGACGTCCGAATGGATTCTTTAGGTTCGCAAGCCAGCATAAAGCATGGTGGTCGGTAATGACGGTAAAAGGCCTGCCGTACAAATATGGGCGGAACTTGGAAGTTGCCCACACAATTGCCAAGCATTCCTTTTTGGTCGTGGAATAATTCTACTCTGCCTTAGACAAAGATCGACTTGCGTAGGCGATGACGTGTTCTCGTCCGTCCCGCCTTTGAACAAGAATGGCACCAAGGCCAACACTGCTGGTGTTGGTGTGGATTTCTGTTGCCGCGTTCTCGTCGAAGTGGGCCAAAATAGGGGGCGCTTGAAGACATCTTTTGAGCTCCCGAAACGCTTCTTCTTGGGGTGCTTCCCACACAAACGAGCTGTCTTCTTTCGTTAGACGTGTCAGACCTGCGAGAAGTTCTTGACAAAGCGCCTATAGTATGTGCAAAGTCCGAGGAAGCTTCGGAGGCTCTTCTTTTCGCGTTGCTGCGGGAAGTCTCGAACTGCAGCGGTCTTCTCTGGGTCTGGTAGAACGTCAGCAGAACTGACGACGTGACCAAGGAACTTCAGCTGCTCATAGGCAAAACGGCATTTTTCGGGCTTTAACGTAAGTCCTGAAGCCTTAAGTGCAATCAAGTACCACTTTTAACCTGCCTGATGTGTTCCTCGAAAGATGGAGCGAAGACTATGACGTCGTCCAAATACACCAAACAAGTTCGCCATTTCAGGCCAGCCAATACGGTGTCCATTACCCTTTGGAAAGTTGCAGGGGCAGTGCGAAGTCCAAATGGCATGACTTTAAACTGGTATAGTCCATCTGGTGTAATAAACGCCGTCTTTTCGCGATCCCTTTCGTCAACTTTCACCTGCCAGTAGCCAGTCCTTAGATCCATAGATGAAAAGTATCTGGCACTGCAGAGACGATCGAGGGCGTCATCAACTCGAGGAAGCGGATAAACGTCCTTTCTCGTTACCTTATTGAGTCGGCGATAGTCGACGCAGAATCTTGGAGTGCCGTCCCGTTTTTTCGCGATCACTACAGAGGAAGCCCACGGGCTTTGGGAGGGCTCAATGATGTTGTCATGAAGCATTTCTTGTACCTGTTTCCGGATTGCCTCGCACTCTTTCATGGACACACGGTACGGCGATCGGTGACTTGGTTGCACATTTTCATCAGTTATGATGAGATGTTTCACAAGCGTTGTCTGGCGAATCTTGGGAGACGTGGCGAAACAATCCTGGTAGCTATAGAGCAGTTTCCGCAGCCTTTCGTGTCTTTTCAGGGACAACGCCGGATTCACGTTAAAGAACACGTCGTGTGTACGAGGATGGAGTGCGTCGTCGATCGTGAGTACATCGCTTATGTCCGGGATGGTCTCGAATAGTGCCACAGTGGTGCCCTTTGCAAGGTGACAATATTTCGAGCAGAAATTAGTGATTAGTACACTGACGGTTCCTTCAACGATGTGAACGATTCCTCTGGCGATAGCCAAACCTTTTTCAAAGAGCAAACTCTGGTTGGCCTCGACCAAACCTTCCGCGCAGATGCAGCTGTCAGCGCCCACGGGGATGACAGCACTCGAGCGTGGTGGCAATGTGACGTGCTCGTCGAGAATCATTAGCGCCGCTGATAATGCAGGACTTGGATTTCGCGTGACGCCCGTATCTGGTGACAGGGTGATTGTTTGCGTTCGAAGATCTACCGTATACACGCATGTAAGGGCCGCACCCATGTAAGGGCCGCATCCCGTTTTTAAGAAGCACATATTAAAAAAAAAGTTGCGTGTAAGGGCCGCATCCGCACTTTCCTTGACCCATACTTATTCAAAATGCGCGCGCGTGTGTGAGCTACTAGGCGTTGTCAGTAGATGGCGTTAGT